TAGCCCATAGATTGATGCTCACGGTGTTCATCACTTGATTGATATGTTTGATCGGCATTTTAAAAGTTGATGAGTCAAAAGAGAAACACAACTATATGAACGACAACTTCTTGTTTATTGCATAGAGCAACGTTTCGATGTAGGTTCTTTAGAAGTGTAGACACTTATATCTTGATATCGATGTGTGAATCTACATCGAAACGTCGCTCTCTGCTAAAAACAAGTTGTCATCCATAAAGCTGTATGGTTCATACTTTACTCGCCGCCATATAGCTGGAATATTGCTGAGTGAGGCGTTAAACAACTGCTTCAGTTGTGGATGTAAAGAGTGATGTTTTAAAGCATTATTACATAACACTGTCATGTAACACTAACATCTCCATTTGCCAACATGTAAGGTTGAAGGTACTACAGTTTGCTGTACAGAGTTGCGGTCCTTGGGTGTGTCAGAAACCAATGATTCTGGGTTCGAATCCTGAAATATGTTTCTAGGTTTGTGGGCACCATACTTGTTCAAGGGTTTCAGCCAAGTGGTAATCAGCGAAACCTGTGTCACTGGGGGCTTTCCTCCAACACTTAGGCCAAAACAAAAATATATGTCCGTTTCCTGTTTAAAAATAGGGTAGGTGGGTCGATTTTATTTATTTTTTAGCACCAGGTGGACACCTGAGAATGTCTTCAAGGATACCATGTCATGTATTTACAATGCCTTGTGATGAAACATTGAAAGATTTCTATACCAAATCGTTATTCATGTTATTTATTTGCAGGTTTTGTCAGTGAGAGCCCATTGTGCCAGTTCAATGCAATCCATTGTAGCCCTACATACACTGAAAAACATGAAAATTTGGATGAAAATGACTCCACTCGTCATGGAATTGACTTGGTTAAAAAAAGATTTGGTGCGTGCGTACGTGTTTTGTTTTTTTTAGGATAGGGTTGGTCAGGTAACAGGAAATTTGGCCTTAACTGACCACAGTCGTAACTGGACTACTGATTTTAAAGGAGCAACTGTCTCGCTATCAGCAATGTCAGCGTCGACAGGCTTGTTTCATAGGGTCGGTGGATGTTACTTGAAGCAGATGAAAATACATACCTCAGAAATGTCTTCCAATATGTATTTCTCACCATACTGATCTGCATGATCAATAGAATTTATTTGTGATTTATCACCATTTTGTAATTAGTTTTGAAATAAAGTTTAAGACATATTATCTGTTGTGTTTTTTTGTAACTACAAAAGGTGAAGTACCCGTGAAGGTCCAGGTTAGAACGAGCCTTCACTAACCCATCCTTGTCGTAAGAGGCGACTAACGGGATCAGGTGGTCAGGCTTGCCGACTTGGTTGACAAGTCATCGGTTCCCAATTGTGCATATTGATGCTCATGCTGTTGATCACTGGATTGTCTGGTCCAGACTGGATTATTTACAGACCGCCACCATATAGCTGGAATATTGCTGAGTGCGGTGTAAAACTAAACTCACTCACTCATTACAAAGTGAAGATTGTGCTTCCTGTATATAAGGCCAGTCAATAATACTTGCCTTACAGATTTGCTGCATTTCTATCCTTGCATAAATCTGTAAAGGGAAAAAATTGTGCCAAGCCATCAGATCTTGACGTCTCTAGAGCCTTGCATGAGCATCAATTGCAAAGTTATCCAGATGAAACCTTGAGTGAGTTTAGTTATAAGCCGCAAACAGCGATATTCCAGCTATATGGCAGCAGTCTGTAAATAATCAAGACCAGACAATCCTGTGATCAACACCATGTACGCAATTGGGATCTGATGACATGTTAACCAAGTCAGAAACCTGACCCTGTTAATCGCCTCTTACAGGCATGGGTTACTGAAGATGATTTCTAACCCAGATCTTCATGGGTCAGAAGAAACGTTGACTGAGCCACGGAGTTCTGCCTAGGATTCAGTTCTGCCTACTGAACCTCTCACATGACGTCTTCACGTTTGCCCAACAGTGACATTGAAGTAAAAGAGGGCGAGATATGAGCTGGCTCATTGTGTCATCCTATGGTGGTACATGCACTCAACATTCCAAGCGGACTGTAAGTAATTGTCTGGACCAGACAATCCAGTGATGGACATCAGGAGCATCAATGTATTTAATTGGGATATGATGACATGTGTCAAAGTAGCGAAGCGGGTTTGATTTTACGCTGCTTTTAACTATCACGGTAGGGAACGCCAGAAATGGTCCTCACACATTGTACCCATGTGGGGAATCAAACCTGGGTGTTCAGCGTAACCACTAGGCTACCCCTCCGCTCCACATCAACCAAGCTTACTTGGGCAGCTGCAGCATGGAACAAGTTATTCGTTGATGTGAACTTGACGCGTCAACACGGGACAAACCATGCTGCAGCTGTGACTCATAATCCTGAATATATTCCACGGCCTTTGGAGAGCTTCACTGCATTTGTACCTCATGACTTGAAACATTTGATCACAATTTGAGAAACAAACAAGAAGTCAGAGTGTATTATAAACACTTTATTTACAAAACTCCCCCTCTCTCTTCATTACAGATAGCAGCTGCCATGAGTTGTCTCCCCCCCAAGAGGGGGAGACAACTTAGTTCACCAAACCACCTCCTAAACCTCAAATATGGCTGCCGACATATCGGCAAATGGCACAAAGAGAATGCTTTGAAATAGCCTAACTAGGTCACCTAGTGACCTTTACAGAAACATGAAATACTGCAAGATATTAATGATGAATATTGTGGTCTAGGGTGAACCATTCATCTTTGGTGTGTTGTTCAATCAGGAAATAGAAAAGAACAAAAATATATTGTTATTGAATTGTGTCACATTTGATGTGTTACATTTACAAACTTTGGCAATTTGATGTCAGTGACAGCAAATTAACAATTCACCAAAAGAAATCAGCGGACTGACAATATAGGCATCCAAAGTTCACAAATGATTTAACAATGAAAACGTTTACAATTTGATTAACAAAGTTTTCACTACCTCAGTTTTCACTGGCTCGAAATTCAGAGCCGACTTAAATGTACACCTGCAGTACCAACTCAATGTAGATTCACCAGCCTGGAAATTGCTGCTGAGATTATTCTTAGATTAATATTACTATACCCTGAGATTGTAAACATCTGTCTAAACCACCTTTAGCTATTCAAGTTGATCGTCATGATGGAACAGCCAAGTCTGCACGAGGTCAACAAAACTACAACATAGGTTCTTTTCCCAGTACTTGAATCTGTAGTCAAAATCCACAATTCATCTGTCTTCTGTACTTTAAGAACATACTGGTACAAAACATGCATAGAACCTGAGCAGACACTGTTTGGGTTTTGTTGAAACTTCGATTCTCATACTCCGCCATCCCATTACGATACAACATAGCACCTTTAAGGCTCTACTATAAAACTCCAAACTAAGTTTCATGCATAGATCAATGCACTTCTTGTAATTCACCAAAATAAAAAATAGTTTTGAGTGCACATGAAACCAAGATATTTTTCAAACATTTCACCTTTTATGACATTTCCACGTCATTTACAGTAGATGTAATACCTTGACAAGCGCTTCTATGACAAACATACATGATACTATTGGGTTCCGGACATACGAACCCCTCCTTTTCAAACTGAACAGCAATTTAAACATAGGGGAAAAAAAGAAAGTGTAAAGCTCAATTAAATCTGGTCTTTTAATGTTATTTACATTTATCGTAGATAAATGGATCTAAATAACATAATTTTATCAAAAGGTCCCAATTGATGCGTCTCACACATTTAAAAATCTTTTGACCATTATTATACAAAATATGCTGTTTTGACTTTTGGTACTCAGTCATCAACTACACTCCACCCAGCAGGTACAATGGAAATATGCTGGGGGAGGATTTTGACTGTTTCTTTTCCACCTCAAATCTTCTACTATGCTGCCTTTGATTTCTCAGACCTCCGACTAACACCTCGTCTCCAGCAAGAAAAATGTAACACACAACGAATTCTTCAAAGTTAAACATTGTTCACCATATACTTGGTTGAAGAGAAGCTTGTGGTGCCCTCGAGAACCATCACTAAGTCAAGCAGCTTATACAGGTTGACCACGATTCTCTAATGCCACAAGAACTGTTATCACTGTTGAGAAGGGATCAGCATTACTTCTAAGTTATCCCTTCAACCAGTGAAATTTCATATTTTGCCAAGGACTCTGTGTCATTTGATAACAGCAATACAATTAGAGTTTTCAACCAAACAAGCAAACTTGTGATCAGAACAAATATCAATGCTATCTTTCCCTTACAGATTGTAAATGCAGGGATTAGGATAGAGAACTTTGACAATGGGCCATTTTCAGGATTATCAGCCATTTTCTGAATTTAGAATGGGCCCCAAAAGAAAACAGCCCTTGTATCAATAGTAAATTTCAAAATTTTAATGTGCCATTTTTTATTCTAATGTTCAAAATGGCCCATGGCCCCTGCCTTTCCCAATCCCTGTAAATGTAAGGAGTTTTATGTTGTCAATTTATGTGCTGCCATCTGAAGTGATGGTTCTTTTTCCACAGCGTCTCGGTGTCAACCCTGAGAGATACCTCCACACTGTATGATGGGTAAAGCTCCTTCTCCAGCTTTAAACAAGATCGATGTTTGATCCTCGATTGCCTGTCAAGGGACCTCGAGGTAAAGTCTCTGTGAAGAACATTTGCCAGGATAATGTTTTGACAGTCCTCTGAATAGCATGGTCATTGAACACCAAATTCAGTACCATGAATTTCTTCACTTGTGTATAGACTTTACCCGAGCACCCAGCCCTAGAAATTCTTATTTTTCTAAACAAGTAACTACAACTAGTACCAAATAGATTTCATTCGACCTCAGTCTAGACTGTCCAATCAGTAAAAACACTGAAATTCCAATTTGAATCAATTCAATTTGTTTTCAATTTGAATTAAACGGTTTTTATTCATAAAGCTTCGATAATTCATCTCAAAGTAGGTAGCACTTGATTCAAAGTGCTCAGATACCAAATATGTCACTAATCATGGCAATTTTGTTAACAGTCAACAAGTCTGTGTTTACTAGACTAAGGTAATATTTGTCAGTCTAGCACAAGCATGAATTTCTAAGGCTGAGTCCCCCACCAGTAATGCAACACAGTGAGAATGGAATGGGGTCTGCTCCTTCACTCGGAGTGAAGGGGTCAAATAAACAATAATAAACACTCAAACCTCTGGGAAATAGTAATAACACTCTCTCGACTACTACGTCAGCCAGACAAGACAACAAGTCCAGTGAACATGAAGCAGCTTCAGTACTGACTGGCTGGTAATTCAGGCAGCAATATGGAAGCAAGCAATGGAAGGTGAAGGTGAAGGACGTGTGACCCTTTGGACCAAAGAAAGAAAAGTTTTTCTGGGTGTCTTAAGTACATTAGTACAAAAACAGTTCATCCTTTGTCCTCCAAATAAATGATTTTGATAACGACACCCACGACCCCTCCAAAAGTGGCTATCCTCATCATATAGCCAGTATCTCAATTGACCGACTCAAACGTCGGACCTCTCTACTGCAATACTTTTTCCACTTCATTGAGCAATCTACCCTTTCTGCCAAGATGGCTGCTCCCTGACCCTGCGCCCAAGCCCCTTCCTCCATCGTGTGCTATCCTAGCGCACTACACCTCAATGTCTGATGCATGCACGGCCACAAGGTTAACGCCACCTGCTTGCCACCTCCAAAACCTGACCAACGGGAATCAACCGTGTAGTTGACGGACAAACAGTTTCAAAATACAGAAATGAACAGCAAGATAACTAAACAAAAGCACAAATCTGACCTGGACAATGGCATTTCCAAACCACATGGTTAATTTTGTTTATTCTATTTGTTTTCCCAGTGGTAAGAATGAGCATCATAATCATGAAATAACAATCACATTTGCTGCAGACAAGGTTCAAAGATTATAATAAAAATTCCATAACCATTAAACTGAAGGCATATTACGTTGCCTGAAAACTTTACACCAAAATAAGCAAACAGTGAAGAAGAAAATAGATTTTGTCAAAGTTTTACAGGATACTAATTCAGAACCAGAGGACCAAAATTGTTCAGTTGTCTGCAGCTCTATAAACGAATTGGATCATGAAGAAACACAAAGGAAATGACCTTGAACCTGGGTAAACACGCAAACTCTCTAGTCTGGGTCCCATACGCGATGACCCGTGAAGCACAAGACAAGATGACGATGTATGCATCGGGCAACAACACGAAAATTGATGTGCATTTTACATGCAGACCTTTCAATATTCAGAAAATATGCACACTACAACACCAGCAACATACTGGGGTGGAACCCAGGATGGACAGGGGTCTATACACCTCCCCCGTCGCCCTCATCCAGACGGTACTCCGCGACAGGGACACTGTGCACCTTCCGTGTTACCCACATGGTCAAGAAATTTAAATTTAAATCACAACTTAATGTAATCCAACCATAAAATCATGGATAATTTATATGGAACATATTAAATAGACATAACATCAAACTCCCCAAACCCTGAATTAAGGCGTATCTTTTTACAAACCTAACCAAATTTTAAGAACACCACAGAAACTGATTATGAACCATGTGGGTGAACCTTGGACGGCAGTGCTGTTCCCGTCTCGCTCCGCCCCAGCATGACACCAGCTTAGGCCTCGGGGCAGTTGCGAGCTACGTGGCCCTTGTTCTTGCACTGGTAGCAAATAATTTCAGATTCCTCGTCATCGGGCCCATCGGGGCATTCAGGGCACTCGCGAGCAAAGTGGCCAGGCTGACCACATCTGCGGAGGAAACATTGAGGAGGAATTAGCAGGAGAATGATACAGCAAGTGAACCACAACAATGTAATGTAACAGTGAATGAAGGGTCATGAAGCAACAACATATCTCCTAGATTGGAGCAAATCACAAATGGGCATATGGATCACCTCCCTCCAGTGATACAGATTGTTTTAGTTTCTTTAAAAACGCAAATAAAATACCATCACTCCCGCTGACCTTCGTCTCACATTAAATGGGAGAACTATGAGTGAGTGGGTTTAGGTTTATGTCGCACTCAGCAATATTCCAGCTGTATGGCGGCGGTCTGTAAATAATCGAGTATGGGCAAGACAATTCAGAGATCAACAGCATGAGCATCGATCTGCACAACTGGGAACCGATGACGTGTCAACCAAGTCAGCGAGCCTGACCACCCAATCCCCTTATTCGCCTTTTACGACAAGCATGGGTTACTGAAGATCAATTCTAACCTGAATCTTCACGGGTTGGGAGAACTATGAGAGAGTGAGTTAACTGGGTAAATGTTGCCTTGAACAGTATTCAAGTTATATCACAGCACGTCAGCTTTACGAGTTAGAGAAGCCAGAAGTGATGCGGGTCCAGATGATGACTATTTTGGTGAGACCTTCAAGCATGGATATGGTGTTGACAAACTCGGGAACCATCATAGGTTCCTAAAACACCCAAGGGGTGCCACTCTGCAGTGAATTACGGCACCTTTATGACTGGGCCAATCATATCACCAGAAATCTATCAAATGTCTTCAACCAACCTGAAGCAATTTCCGGTCTTCTCTGACTGCGGACAGTCTCTGGCCAGATGGTCAGATTCGCCACATGTGTAGCACTTCTTGTCCCGTTTGCTAGGAGACTCCCCAGAGGTGCAGTCCCGAGCGATGTGTCCTGGGCTGCCACAGGTGTAGCAGCTCTTGGTCACGGGCTGCGTGCAGTCACGCTGGATGTGGCCAGTCTTGCCACAGTTGTAGCAGGACCCTGAAAGCAGACGCGACCAGGATTATTCAAGTGATCACATGGACCTCCATCATGGAATGTCTCATTTCCGTGGGGATGTGACGCTTAAAATAAACGGATGCTGTGGTCACTGTAGGTTGTTGCTATGGTAACTAAAACAGAATTGTCTCTGAATCTTTAAACATTAAGGTTATCAAGTAACAGCAAGACTTACTGCTTTAACTTTAAACACTGAATACATGGAATACGAAACAAAAACATCTAAAATTTTCACATTCAGAAAAAGGTCAATAAAGAGTTTGCCAAATAAATTGGAGAGATGCAACAACAACTATTTGCAACCAAATTTAACCTAAGACTCAACCATATTCACAACACTAGCAGACAGCATGTGGTATAGTAACCCTGGCAACCAGTGTTGTTAAAGAAGCAGAGACATAATGTTCATAGGATCAGTACATGAAAGGTTTACAGATGAATTCCTCATGTACAGTGAGAATGAGTAAGACTTCTGGTGCTTTGCATCTGTTAGTGACAAAGCTGCCCATTGTTAGCAAATGCGTGTTGAGCTTGGATGACATGAGGCTATGAACAGCATCTCCCACAGGAGGCACATCAGATATAATTCATATGGTTGGACTGTTCATCATTTGTGTTACATCAAGATACAAGCAGTCGGGCACCACAGTCGGACCATGTTGGGATGTGGGCACCTAGATTTGTTAATGTAGGATCAGATATCAAACGGAAAAGGCACAATCAGTGTAGGGGCACGATCAGCGAGTGTAGGGGCACGATCAGTCAGTGTAGGGGCACGACCAGTCAGTGTAGGGGCACAACCAGTCAGTGTAGGGGCACAACCAGTCAGTGCAGGAACAGGCAAAATCGGTCAATGTAAGGATGTGGACACTGTCTGGCTGCCAGGTTAGACATCCATACGTCTGGCTGAAGTGAGCGGGTTAATGATACTTGTGACAATATTTCAGCCATATCCGAGTATGCCTTCATATCTTCGTGTTGAAGACTTGTTCTAACATTGCACGGCTCCTACTCAGTATCACCCATTGAATGATGGCTCCAGTCTATTTGCTTGTTTGCAAGCATGGTACAGGCAAAGACAGTTGTCGTTATACTTATCAGCTGTTACAATATGCATCAGGTAAAGTGCCTACTCTGGCCCCAAATCCACACAAGCCACCACATGACTTGTATTGAACTAAATCAACATTCATCATGTATAATATGTACTTCTGTCTGGAAACATAATTATACTCTCATACATGCCTAATCCGACACTGACTCAAGCAAGAAACAAGCTATCACAGGAACAACTTAACTTATGCTGAAAATGGAAATTTAACTTTGTGTCATTAGATGTTCAGTTTGAAAACTAAATTATTCTAAATCGGCAAAGTTGTCCATTACAATTCCAGGGCTCGATTTACCATTTAGAACTGGTGCACACTGACACTGTAATATGTCATATTTTTACCCAGTGCATGTTAATGTTTTGCTGTTTAAAACACACACAAGACTTCAGCTGGAAAACAGAATGAGGAGGAAGTGGTTTGGAGCAGCAACTCTGATGATGGCAGTGATTGAATGACAGTTGCTGTTCATGTCAGGAAATATTATGAGGCAAAATAAAATGATCTTATCAGACCCAAAATAATTTTTGTCATAATGCTATACATCAACAATACCACAACTCAAGCATTACATATAATGTTATACTTATCACATGGTGCAGCCTGTTTTAGTCTGGTGCAACAAGGTTATTGTCTACGGTTGCACTGGGTGCAAGTAGGTTTCATTTCCTTAAACTGAGCCCTGGTTTCTCAAGTTCCAATTTCTTTGGAAAAGGTACTAACAAATTGAAACCTTTGTACAATTGTTAAAAATTCCTTATATCCTGCAGTTTGGATGTATTTGGGTCACAGTAAAGACACATAGAAGAATAGTTAAGATGTAGCGGTACTCGGAAGTGATGTTTGGCCATTTTACTAAAAGCAATGCTAGGAAAGGGAAAGCGTGTTCCACACAACTGACTTCAATGTTGACACTTCAGAAGGTCCTAAATTGGGCATGTGCATATCAGGAAGAAATATGGATGCATTAATCACTTGGTACTGAAGTTGTCCAACAAATCTTACTACATCAAAACGTCAATGGCTGTACACGTGAATACACAAGCAAAGGCATAGCTGAGATACAAGAAGAATTATCCAACTAACACTGATAACAAAATGCAACCAAAATAGACACAAAGAAACTTAATTTGCTACCAACAAAACCCACAACTTGTCACAACATACATATAAATCTAGTACCACTGTCCCTACATTTATTGCCACAAAGTGCACCAGTGCAGAAACTTCAGTCACTAGAGGCGTTGTTTGTGAAAATCTATATCATTATATTACTTAATTATCATAATTTGCCAAAATCTTTCAGACCAAAGGTCTGGGTGCTGCACAAAAAACACCCTCATCCCTGCAGCTGTCATAAGCTTGTGTTGATTTATGGGAGTTGTGATCGCCCTATCGCTAAGATCACCTTATACAACTCCACACCGGTCTTGTAGCCAAGGTTACAGAAGTAAAAAATGGTCAGAACCAAAGCAAATAGATGGGTTAGAAATTACACTGAAACAATGAAGATTTGCAGTACTGGGTGCCATTGTACAAAGCAATCTTGGCGCTAAGGAGACCGTAACTCCCATTCCTTAACATTGAGTTAAGGTAGACTTAGCTCTAAGGTTGTTTTGTACAACAAACTGTTCCAGTGCTGAGACCAAATCCAGAATTTTGACATGATCTCTTTGATCAAGTAGGCTACCCACCACCATAAAAATATATTCCAAAATAATGTAGGAACTGGACTAGTGAGTTTCTGCGCTGGTGCACTTGTTAAACCTCGTCATACTCTACTGCTACTTTCACCATATTGGACAAAAGCCTGATTACCTGAGTCAACATTGCTCTCGCAATCCTTTGCAAGGTGGCCTAGTAAATTACATTTATAGCAGCGCTCCGAGTTGTTCCTACATTCGCGGGCAAAGTGACCGTAACCAGAGCACTTGAAGCATTTATCTGAAATAAAGCACAGAGGCTCTCTCAACCCAGGATTTAACAAAGACAAGTGCTTATTCAAAATTAACCTGCCAAAATCAGAAAATGTAAACCGACCACCTCACTGAAATTTCCCTTTTTTGTGCAAAAAGATATGAAGGAAAAAAAAAGAATGAATTTACAATTTCTTTTAAAACTCTTAAACTCAATATTACTGTCGGACATATGGAAATATGTTATCAAAGCCATCTAAATTTTAAGTCGGAACATATGAACAATAAAACATTGTGTCAATCTGTCCTAATAAGCTAGAATACTTGCATCTGCATCCTGCATGGTTTTACAGTGACTCCAGAAACATACTTGTTTCAGTGAACTTTCATATACACAGTTGTAACTAATGATCATGGACATAATGGCCTTGCCCTAAACTTCTTTCACATGACTGTCTGAAAATATTATGGACACACTTTCACATACTTAAATGTTTAAGTTCCTGACAACCGACGTTGATAGTCAACATGTAGGAACTGTAGGAACAGCGACGCAGTAAGTGACCATGGCATACCTTCTCTTGTGACGTGTTGTAAGTTTCAAAGTGGAGAAAGATGGTATTGTTTACTAACACATAACTAAGTTTGGACTCTTACGTCTAAGGAACCATATTTGCTATACAGTGTACGAAAACTGCAGTTTCACAATCCTCTGAAACAAATTTGCTTAACGCAGCAATCAGAAGTAAATGTCCAAAGTTTAACAAATCCCAACAAAATGGAAGGACTTGCATGATTGAAGGATTGAAGTGCAAAGTAAATGGATGACAGGGAGGTTCAGGGAAAGCAGACAAGTATCAAATAATTTTGTGCATGAAGTTCCTCAAGGTTCAATAATAATGCTTCTTTCAACAAAGCAGCAAACAGCTCACCTCCACGACCTCTTCCACGGACACGGCCACCACCACCTCCGTCGACTCCACGGCCGCCGCCACCGCCTCCGCTTCCTCCATCACTTTTACATTCTCGGGCAAAGTGTCCCCGTATTCCGCACTTGTAACATTTGTCTGAGTTCATCCTCCTCAACACCTCTGCAACAGTAGCCATTTGTGTAATAAAAGTGGTAAACATACCATGTCTTACAGTGTGATAAAATGCGGTAATCATACCTTGTCTTACAGTGTGATAAAATGGGGTAAACATACCTTGTCTTACAGTGTGAAAAATGCGGTAATCATACCTTGTCTTACAGTGTGATAAAATGCGGTAATCATACCTTGTCTTACAGTGTGATAAAATGCGGTAATCATACCTTGTCTTACAGTGTGATAAATGCAGTAATCATACGGTAATCATACCTTGTCTTACAGTGTGATAAAATGCGGTAAACATACCATGTCTTACAGTGTGATAAAATGCGGTAATCATACCTTGTCTTACAGTGTGAGAAATGCGGTAAACATACCATGTCTTACAGTGTGAAAGATGCGGTAAACATATTATGGCTTACAGTGTGGGAAAAGCGAAAACATACCATGTCTTACAGTGTGATAATTGCAGTGAACATACCATGTCTTACAGTGTGATTAATGCGGTAAACATACCATGTCTTACGAAGAATAATTAGGCCTAAAAAAACCAAAACTTGTGGTTCCGATTTCCCGACCGACCCTAAATATTCCCGCCGAGGGTAACAATTTTACTCACAACATTATAAACTAAATTTATTTTCTGACACAAGTAATGTAAAAATATTTGCAAAAAAAACAAACCCTACCTACCTACCCTAGTTCTGAAATGTAGGAAATCGGAACCACAACATTTTGGGGGCCTTAATGCAGAGTCCTAAACTGTCTTGGACATGATTTCAAACTGGAAATTTATTGTAAAAAATATAATTTCAAAATTCTAAATGCCAGAGACAATTATTTCTCCATAGGTGTGTTTAGTTAGAAAACACATGTCTGTGTTATTAAGACTGAACTCTTCTACTGCATCAGCAAAGAACCATCACAGCAAAGGGGAGATAAATCAGTGGTTGACATTTTAAGCAAAAGATGTGGAGTAAGCTATGCCAATTTACTTAGCATATTTTGTGTGGATATGCAGTTTAACCCAATGAATGTGAATGCCATTGCATCTGTAAAATGTATAGAGTGAGTGAGTTTAGCTTTACGCCGCACTCAGCGATATTCAAGCTATATGGCAGCGGTCTGTAAATAGTCGAGTCTGGACCAGACAATTCCACGATTCACAGCATGAGCATCAATCTACGCAATTGGGATACGATGACGTGTCAACCAAGTCAGCGAGCCTGACCACCGGATCCCGTTAGTCGCCTCTTACGACAAACATGGGTTATAAAATGTACAGACATGTAATATCTTGCATATAATTAATTTTAGAGCTAGAAATACCTTTAACTGATATCTCATGAAAGTCTGCTCAACAGTATACAAAACCAAATAAACTGGGCTCACAAATGTAAACATATGCTGAATACCCAAGAAAACAATCAATATCCAATGTGAACAACTTTAAATAACATTATTCTTCCATGATCTTAAATACAGTAGCCATGAAAAAGAATATATACACGATACCCATAATTTATTACGTCATTCGCGTGACATGGTGATAAACAAATACGGGCGTTCATTGCTACAGCTCTGTATTTAATTCAATCTCATTATCATGAATGGAAGATGTGGTTCAGATGCAGCTGTTGGTGAATATACTTTTGTTTCAGCAGTGGGTACAAGTGTCATTGACTATATTATCACTTCAAGTTCTTTATTCACATTGTGTCACGAAATCGATGTTACGAGGTCTGAGTCTGATCATCTACCTGTACGATGTACGTTTCAGTCACGTGGCATACACGCCACTCTACGCAAGGATGGTAACGTAACACAGGATGCACGTGGCGAGGGTGCGAAGTTTAGATTTAAGTGGGATGTGGACAAGGTCGCCAATTCAGGGAGAATTTACTTTCACCGGATATATCTAGATTGCTTGAAAGCTTTTGTGATAATGTTCTTTCAGATATTAACAACGCAGTAACATTTCTTACAAATGCAATATGTCAAGCTGCACAGTGTATTAAACGCAAACATGGCATAAATAGACGAAATTCACAACCTTGGTTTGACAAAGAGTGCACATTTCTAAGACATGAGAAAGACAGACTTCTGGGGTGTTTTAGGCATTTTAACGATGGAGCATCGCTACGAAAGTATGTACATGCCAGAAACAAGTACAATTGTACTTTAAGATCTAAAAAAAGAAATTACTACGGATCTGTAAAAGATAAATTACTTACAAATCTGAATAACTCAAAATTGTTCTGGAACACCATGTGCAGGCTTTCTTCATCTAAGAATTCTATTCCCAACATAACAATGGACTCGTGGTATACACATTTCAAAAACATATTTCAACATACGGATACATTTAATGTCGAATTACATTCTATCGATCATGATATTGAAGAGAAGATGGTTCAAGACAGCCCTAGGATACTTGACGCTCCTATTACAAGAGATGAGATCTGTGCAGCAATTACAGTACTAAAATCAGCCAAGAGTGCTGGGCCTGATCATATCATAGCAGAATTTTTAAAGTCCTCACAGGATATTTTAGTTCCCTATATTCAGTTGCTATTCAATGTTCTGTTTGATCGAGCATATTTTCCAGAATCGTGGTGTATGGGTCTTATTGTACATATACATAAAAAAGGGACACTAGTGTAGTTAACAATTACAGAGGTATATCAATTACAAGTATCTTCAGCAAGCTGTACATACACATTCTGAATAATAGACTAACATTTTGGTGCTCTTGCTATGAAAAATCGTTGAATCGCAAGCGGGTTTTGGCAAAGGTTACAGTACTATTGATAACATTTTTATCCTACAGTCCGTTATTGAACGCTATCTCTCAAAAAAGAGAGGTAAAGTGTATGCATGTTTCATAGACTTTTCCAAAGCCTTTGACTTCGTGAATAGGGCAAAACTGTGGAATATTTTAAGGCTAAGAGGAGTAAGAAGCAAAATGCTTAAATCAATCCAAGCCCTCTATGCAAGTGTTAAAGTGTGTGTCAAATTTAATAATAATTTATCAACATGTTTTGATTGTCCATTGGGTCTACGACAAGGGTGTATCCTAAGCCCTTTTTTTCCCATTTTTATCAATGAACTAGCTTATGAAATCGAAGCATGTTGCGTACCAGGAATTCAGCTTCATCCTGAACTTGTACAGTTATTTCTTCTTTTATTTGCTGATGATGTTGTGTTTATCTCTGATACAGTGTTTGGTTTACAGAAAAGACTTGATGTCCTAAAGATATTTTGTTCTGAGAATTGTTTGACGGTAAATATGGAAAAAAACAAAGGTAACAGTTTTTAAAAAAGGTTGAAGACTGTCGAGGTATGAAAAATGGTTCTATAATGGTGTACAAGTAGAATGTGTTTCCTGGTACAAATATCTAGGTATTTTATTCAGGTCATTAGTATGGACCAAACACATAGAAAATGTATGTCTGCAGGCTCACCAAGAATTTTTTGGTATTTTTAGATCACTGTCAATGTTTAAGCCATTACCTTTTCACTTGTTCTTTAAGATTTTTATTATACGGTGCAGAAATATGGGGACTGAATGTTGTTAAGTTATACATGTAGCAGCTTGTAAACGATTTCTAGGAATGAAATCCTCTGTTTCAGCGCATGTTGTGCGAGGCGAATGTGGAAGATAGCCATTGTATATTTATGCCATCAAAAGGTCTATCAAATATTGGTGTAAAATATTGAAAATGTCAAATGAGCGATATGTAAGGAAATGTTATAACATGCTTGTACAAATTGAAAGTAATGGTTGCAGGAGCTGGGCATCTAGGATAAAGCATATATTAGGAGTCTATGGATTTGGATTTGTTTGGCAAGAACAGATGGTTCAAAGTGAAACACTATTTTGAATGAATTTCTTGGTAGACATTGTTTCGTATCAACAGGACTGGCATTCTGTACTAATAAAAGGCACAAAAACATTTGGATACACGTTGTTTAAATCTATGTTCGGTGTTGAATCTTATATCTCCATAGTTAGCTATGTTAAAAGATAGACGTGCTCTTGCTCAGTTTAGATCGGGGTCTCAAACTATGAATAGAAACTGGCAGGTATATTGGTGAGGCTAGAAATGACAGATTATGTAATATCTGTAAACTGCCATATATAGAAGATGAATATCACTTCTTACATATTTGTAATAAATATCAAGCATTGCGGCGGCTGTACATCCCTTTACACTTTTATGAATATCCAACAATCCAAAAACGTAATACGCTTCTGCAATCATCAAATGCAAGTATCTTAAAAGCATTTATCAGCATAATATATCAAGCTATGTTACTGAGAGTCTTCATTATAACATATTTTCTCACTCTGTAATTCTCAAAGTGTAACCTGGGTCTATGGCCTATATTACCTTTCTGAAACAATCCACCATATAAGTAGCAAGCACACATAAAGATGTCAATTAGCACATGATATTTCATAATGCTCTTTATATTAGGATTCTATCTCCATACATTTCTTTTCTGCAATGCTGGCCATCTAAATTAGTAAATAAAAGGCGGAGAGAGTTCCTTCCGTTCCCCCAACCCTAAACCTAACTCTAAACCCAACCCTAAACCTAACCTTAAACCTAACCCTAACTTAAATTTTGGACTTTTAGTCATTTTTTGAGTTCTCTAGTAATTGTTGTGTTAAGTTTTGTTAATAATTTTAGTATATTTATAAATATTATTTGGGATGGGGGAACGGGAGGAACTCTTACCAATAAGGCAAGTCAAAGGGACCTCTTCTTTGCATTAATTGACTAATCCTATTTGTCATTTACTGGTCTATGCACTGCCAATTGATGCTGAAATTATTGCTGTATTATTGAATAGTTTCACCACCTGTGCATTTATACTTCATACTTCCAGCACAGGTTGCAGAGAACATGTCAAGGCTTGGGGGAGACCAAGATATCTTTTCCTGATATTGTTCAAAGTGTAACTGGCGGCTGTTCTTAACAATTTAGAGAGGATAGGCATTTACACCTTTAGGTCTTTCGGGGACACTCCTTAGAATGATATCCCGCTTATTGGCATTTTACAGCTCTAAAGGTTGTCAAAACATGCGATGATGTAGTCTTTTAAAGTTAATCTTCAATACGAAACACACAAGATATTAAATTCAGTTTTCATGTTACACGATTTCACCACAAGACACGCAATACAATGGATATTTCAGTCAGACATTACACCCCACCCAATGAGGGCCCCTCGCCATGCTTCTTTCCTCGCCATGCTCACGTGGGCCATGTGTTACAACTTTCGTCACGTAGAGCAGGGAAATTATTGATACATGTCCAGATGAAAAACGAGACCAAATTAAAATTAATTACAACACGAAAGCGTTTTCTTATGTACATTCAAACATTTATTTGATGATCTTGTTCTTAGTAACAAGCGATTTATTACGATGTTGAGAAAGGGGGAACAACCCACTCTGTGACCGACTTCCTCAAACGTGTTTACCACTCATCACACTTTACACCCTTATTTGACAATTGTCACCAAATATCAGTTTACTAAATACTAATATCCCGTTTTACTATATAACATCCCACTATTTGATCCCATGTAAAACTGTTAGGCACGATCCCTGTAGTGTGTATTGTACGCAAGGTTGAACCACATCGTGAAAAACATGAAAGATGGCCACGAGAATTTTTACGATACAAACACGATCAACACGAGGTGATGACGCTTCACAGAAACTTTATTACGACAAAACAAATATGATATCTGATGCATGGAAGCATATTTCGTAGTTAGGCAATGTTACTACAGGTGACAATGATGAAAAACTCACCCACAAACACCTAGACCTCCCCTCACCACGCTTATTTTCGCGCGTCGTTTATATGTTTTGCACACGGTTTCCTTCTATCGTTTCTGAAGATTACACATTTTGCACACGCCTCTAGCTCGTTTGCACACGGCTCGCATCGTCCCCTAACACTGTAATAGCACATTTTATACAGGAATGTGATAGGTTGATCTAACATAGTAATACGACAGGACGATAGACTCTTGCGCGAAGATGAAAACACCACCTTGACCGACTTCACGATATCGGTGACGTCATCACAGGTGGGCGGGGCCTCTTTCCTTAAATAGACCAACATACTCTAACATTTCAATTGAATACGCTTAATAAAGCTGTTATAATCGAAAAAGCGCAGGGAATGTCCGTCGTCACAATTGACATGTGAAAACTTAAGACATTTTCCTTGTCTGAAAAAACGATACATTATTTCTGTCGAAGTATTCATGGATTTCCTAGCGGATTTTTCAAAAATGAAATAAAGCTGACAAAGAAATGTGAAAAGGTCGGAGGGTGTATTGACACAGAAATGGAGAGGTTTCTTCACAAGGAAGTGACAGTGTTGTAGTTCATTTTCGTTAGACTTTGGACATGATTCATGTAATATTCTATCTGTGTATGATCATATAGCTAAATAATCATTGTTTATAAATGTAGAATGGAAGTGTGTATATAAACGCTTAGATTCGGATTCTTCATAAATAGACGACGTAGTAAAGATTTAATTGTCGGCTAAATGATGGTGACATCCCCAACCTATCTGCATCCGGATATAACTTAATTTGTCTCAGCATTAAGTTAACACACTTGAGCCATATCGGCGTACACAGCTGGTACCGGTAAATTAGGCTGAACGCCATTGTCGCATATATTGTATATGCATAGTCATGCATGTTGCTCACCTTAAAATGGTTTAATGTTTTAAGGTTTGCCATTGTTTGCATGATAAAAGACTATTATATTATGTTATGTTATGTTATGTTATGTGATGTTATATTATGTTATATATTCATGGAAACGAATAAGGGAACACATGAAAGTACAAGTGTTCCTTTATTTATTTCCAGAATTTCACCCCACTGCAGTATACACGCCTTATAAAGAAACCTGGAAAAGAATAAAGGAACACTTGTACTTTAATGTGTTCCCTCATACCTTTCCATGATTGTATCATATTATATTAACACTGAAATACAGGAATCCGCTTAACTATGAATATCAATGTTCATAGCATCCGGTGCTCTAAAAACATACCATTCAATAACAGGGCTCGGTATGGTGTGTAAGAAAATGGGGTGGCACCTTCTAAAACATGTCCGCCAGAGCGGACTGCGTAGCTAGACTCATTCCTGTGGGTCATAGGTGTGGCTAGAGTGGGATATGCATGACTTTTCGAATATATTACAATCTGAAGACCGTAAGAATAATTTTATTTCAGAAGCCATGATGATCTCTGTAATTGCTGTGCAATGAATAAACTAGGATTACACAATGTCATTAAGAAAGTGGTCAAATGTAACATATGTTAATTGGGATTATACTTTCTTAGTAAAGTGCAGATTCTAGTACCTTTGCTGGGTTGCGTCCCATCCGGGATTCGAACCCACACCCTCAGAGTCAGGCACCTAATCGCCAGCACACAAAGTCAGCCGCCTAACCCGCTCAGCCCCCGCGGCTTCAACAAGAGCACTAAGAAAGTGTAATCCCAACTATAACATATGTTACAATGAATAAACTGTTATATTTAACTGCACGAACATATCATGCAAACCAAAATATGTTTCCGTATTATTTGATCGATAAATGATATCAAAACGCCGGGGTGTTGACTTGAATATTTCTAAAAAATTGAAAGTATAAATGAAGCCATTTGATAAAGATATACGCAAGAGTGGACTAATAAATGTGCTTGCAAACACGCTGGGGCTTTATTTATTTCAACCTTGAAAACTATATCATTACTTGATATGTGTGATCACAGCCTTGAAAAGTAACATCACTGGCATACGTAAATGAGTATATGGTTTTACGCCGCTTTCAGCAATATGGCGGTGGGTGACACCAGAAATAGACATCACATATTGTCCATGTGGGGAATCAAACCCGGGTCTTCGGTGTGACGGGCGAACGCGTTAACCAAAATCAATTTGAAGGGCTCAGAAGCAGAACAACCAAAGTGAGACTTAAGTTGTTTTGACATAATAATACCCCACCGATCGTCATGCTGAGATCTACATTTTGGTGAAATTTCACATTGATACATAAATATTTCGCAGAATTACAGAGTGTTGAATATGCATGATTTATGAAAAAATGACCTTAACTCAGACCAGTTTTTCGCCTCTCCTGATAACCTACAATAAGGGACTTAAGTCGTTTTGCTTCTCAACGCTTCCATTAGGCTGTCCCACCGCCCCCATCGACTTTAAAAGGCATCGAACATGAGCTATTAATACATTACAAATACGGGGCGGTGGGGTAGTCTAGTGGTGGTAGGCTTTCGCTCGTCACGCCGAAGACACGGGTTCGATTCCCCACATGGGCACAATGCGTGAAGCCCATTTCTGGTGTCCCCCGCCGTGATATTGCTGCAATATTGCCAAAAGCGGCGTAAAACTAAACTCACTCACTCACTCACATTACAAATACATTAATAGTCGACCTGATAAAACTGTTAGGCACGATGCCTTGTTTGTATATTTATTTACGCTGCACTCTGTACTATTCCAGCTAAGCTGTGTGGGAGCGGCATGTAGAAAGTCGAGTCAGACAAACCATACAACGAAAGATACGTAACTTACTTGTATGATCACCATCACTGGCAGTCTGGGTATACGTCGATGGGCCAAGAACCGAATCCCCGCGCCTGACCACCATTTTGTCGCCACTTACAACCATCACAGGTTAATGGGGACCTCTATAGTCCATGAAGAACCTACGATTGAACTGGTGTCACTTTATAAGGCCCAGGGACTCATTCTAACCCGGAATCCCAACTGGGTAACACCTTCATGATGCAACTTGATAAACAATATATTTTCATGAGAAAAATGCGGAAATCTGTGATACCATGATCTACAGTCATGTGGTGTAACTGTATGGGACGTTGGGATAGACTGGGACAGAGCGAGTGTGGCGTACTTAAACTGAAGTATAAAACATGTTATAAAAATATGACATGTTGTAAGAATGTTGTCCCTATTATCAGAAAATGCGAAATACGTAGGCATAAGCTAAAAAAAGTAATTTTATCAGTCACTAGGCAGCATGAAGTTGATGAATTCCTAAGAAGACTGAAGGCGATTTTGTAAATATTGACAATCATAGTCATTAAATGCGAGCTGGCTCCGAATGCTTGGCACTCCAAGCAAGTTTAGTGCAAGTCGGGTTAGTGCCAGTCATGTAAAACTCATTCACCTTTGTGACTGATGGCTGTCTATGCTGTACCCATCTGCATACTGATTAAATAGTTTTGAAAATCTTGGGGTATATCTTTTATGAAAATATGTGCTTAATCTTACAATGACGATACATCCCCAAACTGACCCCTGGCCTGAAACGTGTTGTGCTCGGCATGAGTACAATGACTCGTTGTAAACCCCATTTAAATGTAACCTGTAGAAATGACATCACTGGAAGTGGTGGAAAGTTGTGTAAAGTGGCACAAACCACGTTAATACCAACTCACGCCTGACGTGTCGTCCAATGCGGGACTGAAGTTGTATATCATCAGCAGTACATCATGAAGACGTGAGCAAATTCCATAATACGCGGAGCTCATGGCCGTCAACAAATACAACTTCAAAGTTCATTTCACTTATTAGTCTCGGAAATGAACATGTTTTACAGAAAATAAGCATTTAGAAGTAGAAGTTCTTAGGAAGGACCCTTGAACATCCGGGTTAGAATTGGTCTTCAGTAACCCATGCTTGTTATAAGAGGCGACTAACGGGATCGGGTAGTCCAACTCGCTGACTTGGTTGACACATGTCATGGTGTCCCCATTGCCTTGAACGATGCTGAAGATGTTGATTACTGGATTGTCTGGCCCAGATTCGATTATTTACAGACCGCCGCCATATAGCTGGAATATTGCTGAGTGCGGCGTAAAACTAAACTCACTCACTCCACTTTCAATACCATTGACTTCCACATTATGTAAATCCCTAAATATGTTGTCCCATCCATATTCCTTTGAAGATGTGCCTCTCTGCATATGATATATATTTGAACCAACCAACCAACCAACCAAGGAAGGATAAGAGATAACATATTTATACATTATGAGCGACGTTTTTATGCAGATTCTAACACTGTTATCAAGCACGTGGTGTACAGAGAACGGATTGAGAGGCATATATTATTCATTTAAGTCTCTCAACCCATAATCTGTACATCACTTGCTTGATGAGGGACGATGGGGTAGCCTAGTGGTTAAAGTGTTCCCTCGTCACACCGAACACCTGGGTTCGATTCCCAACATGGCTACAATGTGAAGCCTAGTTTTGGTGTCCCCACCTTGAACTTACTGGAATATTGTCAAACGGCGTAAAACCAGATTCACGCACTTGCTCGATAACTTACACGGCCACATCGCTCCTATTGTACTATAGAAGACATTCATCCATATATCTCATCCTTCCTTAAGGTTTGAGCAATCAATGTCGTTCGTGAGGCATGGAGATGCAGCCAAATGGACCGATGGTCAGGCTCGATGGCCTGAGTGATGTGTGCCATCGTACCTCAATGGGGCGTTGTTTATGATATTAATCACCGGATTGTATGATCAGCATTATTGACAGACAGCTGTCACATAATGGAGTATTGCATAGTGAGGCGTTCAACCATAGCTTCACGTAACGCCAAATACACCCTGGTAGTAACATACATCATTGACAAGGGTGTTACTGTTTTTGTTTGTTTGTTGTTTTACGCCGCACTCAGCAATATTCCAGCTATATGGCGGTGGTCTGTAAATAGTCGAATCTGGACCAGACAATCCAGTGATCAACAGCATGAACATTGATCTACGTGATTGGGATACGATGACATGTGTCAACCAAATCAGCGAGCCTGACCATCCGATCCCGTTAGTCGCCTCTTATACGACAAGC